ACTGCAGAGAAAACAGCAGAAGAATCTGTTAATGAAGGAGCAGGAAGCTTCTGAGCCCCGAACAGCTGCTGCTCAGAGGCTCTGAAGCTTCAGGAAACTGGCTGCGTCTCAATCTGCACTTTGTTTTCTGCATTCAACGTTTTGTCTGATTCAGTCCAAAGTGTCAAAACCCAGAAATATATTTAATTTTCTTTGCTAACAAACTAAGGAATCAAATCGTCACATCACAGAAGCTGGAAGAGGGTTTTAATCATTATCACTTCACTGACGTGCCGCTGATTCATCTTCTCATCTTGGCGTACAGTCAGTCTCACCTGCAGTCGCTGCCGCCGGCGCTGATGACGTATTTATCATCGCAGGAGAAGCGAATGTTGGTCACATGAGCAGAGTGACCGAAGTAACGCTTGTGTTTTGCCTGGAAACGACCAGAAGGAGGTGATGAGAAACCCACGGGCGGTTTGTGGACTCGTCTGAAGTCTCAGAAGGCTTCAGTGATTTATCTTACAAGAACTTCACTTACGAACTTGTCGGTACAGGGGAAGTCGAAGAGCTTGATGAGGCCGAAGTCATCTCCGGTCGCCAGGTTGATGCCGGCGTGAGAAACACAAGCACAGTTCACGTCGGCCTTCTCGGCGTTACGAGGCCAAACGCCGAGAACCTCATCGCCAAGGATGCTGAGATCACAAAGAAACGCCATCTATGACCCTGTTCCCTAAAGCCCAGTGTGCCCTCTAGGATCCCTACATGTTCTAGAGACGTTACAGGGAACGAGGACGCTGCAGAACGTCCACTCTAGAGAGGATTCCTTTGCTCTACAGTTCATTTGATGAGTTCTCAGTGTGTCCCCTTGAGCTATGCTTGGTTCCCCAAGTTCTACAGTAATTGTTTTTTCTGCCTGGTTCCCTAAGCTCCACCCTTTCTACCCCAGGATTCTCCCTCCCCCCACCGCTACATTTAGGCTTACAGTTAGTTTCCTCGACTCTACATGTTCCCATAGCTGCACCTTGAAATCTCTAAGTTCTAGAATATGTTCCATGGGTTCCACATTTAGTTTCCTAGGCTTTAAAGTTAAGGTTTAAAGTTTGTTCCTTGGCACTAAGCTCTCAAGGTAGTTTCCTAGTCTCAAAAGTTAGTTCCTTAAGCTCTAAAGGTGGTTCCCGAAACACTGACAGGTAGTTGCTGAGGCTCTAAACTTAGGTCCCTGAACTCTAAACCTATTTCCCTTTGATGTACCGTTTCCCTCTTGTGGGGACATTTTGTCACTTTCTGGTCATTTGATTGGCTTTCCATCTTAGCCAGCCTCACCTGGTCCAGGTAGCCCAGGTGATCCTTTCAATGGCGGGCAGCTCTGTGACGATCTTCCCTGAGGGAACTTCATGCACCTGACGAGTGTACGTGCTGGTACAGACCTGCCATGAAAAATAGGGGCAACTTACTGCTGAAGCTTAAAGGGAATCCAGATGTTTGGATTGTTGGGTGTCTCTGCCTTTGTGAAGCGCTATGAGATGACTTGTTGTTGTAAATGTGCGCTACACAAATAAAATTGAATTGAATTGAATTGAACTTAACCTCCTGTTAAAGACCTAACAGTTGAAAGAGAAGGTCGGAGGTCATTATGTGTTCAACCTTTTAAACCTAAATGTGTTCTCCAAAGAAAATGGAGGCCTAGATCTACCGAACCTGAAAAAACATTATTGGGCTGCTTAGCTGAGATCAACGGTAGCATGGACATCCCCAGATACAGACACCGGGTGGGTAGGCATGGAGCAGAATGACTGTCCAAACGAGTTCTGATTTGAATCATGCGACCTGGATGGGATCTAAAATTACAAACCCATGGACAAAAACTACATTACAAATATGGTCAAACTGAGGAGTCCTTATACCAATATCTAGAGTAATGGAGACTGCACATGCTAGATGTGGGCTTCAAGAAATGGGAAGAAAAAGGCTTGAAGGGAACTTATTGCCCTTCGAACACCTCCAACATAAATATGGCCAACCGATTCATGACACTACCCACAGAAACACAAAGGATGGGAGAAACTCCACCCACCAGCTTACAAGCATTCTTCATATGGATCATAAAGGGGCTATTAAAAGGAAATTTATATCAGACATATATAAAACTTTACAAGAGGAGTCCATGGAAAACAGCGCTGACATTAAAGAAAAATGGGAATTGGAAATGAACACGATAATCACAGATGAAAAATGCAAAACGTCATGCACACAATCACAAACAGTCCAATTTGGAAAGAATCTGAAAGGATTTTTTTGGACCCCTCTTGATTCAGAGACACCTCCGTGACAGTCTGACATCACTGCTCAGAAGTCTGACTGCTAACAAGATGATGACTTCATCGTGGCTGAAACCACGGCGGGGCTGCAGTTGGTAGCACTGTTGCCTCGCAGCTAGAAGGTCGCCGGTTGGCGTCCCGGTGAGGACACCCGGGATCTTCCTGCGTGGAGTCTCCATGTTCTCCCCGTGCAGCGTGGGTTCTCTCCGGGTTCTCCGGCTTCCTCCCACATGCTGAGGTTAATTGGTGATTGTAAATTGTACGTAGAATGTGAGTGTGCTTGGTTGTCTGTCTCTAAGTGTAGCCCTGTGATAGACTGGTTACCTGTCCAGGTGAACCTGCCTTCACCCTGAGTCAGCTGGGATAGGCTCCGCCCCCCAGAGAGGACGAAGGTGAACAGATGATGGATGGATGGATGAAACCGCGGCGCCCCACGCTGACTCAGTGGAGAGACAACGTTCAGGAGGTTTATTAAATGAAAATAGAACGGCCAGACTGCAGCTGAAAACGTACATATTCCTGAACAAATGGTTCTTTCCTCTTTTTGTTCCTCTTTAAATTAGAGTGGCACACTGAGGTCCACACCTTCCTGTTGACGTATGTTGGACGGTTTTTGTGTGTGTGTATATATATGCAGGACAAACATACACATGTGCTCCATTTACCTAATGTTTTCCCGGCTATATACTGCAGCTGTGGACTATATTTTGAGACAGTATTGTTGTAATGTGCCTTTAGACATTGGCCTGTACTGTATACTGGATTTGCACTTGAGAATGTGAATAAACAAACCTGAATGTGTTTGCTGTCAGCAGAGAAGTCGATCTGGATGACGAAGCCGGGGATGTCCTTACAGTAACCAATCCGATTGAGAGACGGTCCAAGGGAAAGGTCATAGAAGTCCACAGCACTTTCAACAGAACCCACCGCCAAGAACCGGTTGTCTGGACTGAACCTGAACCACAAAAAAACAACAAACATGAGTACGCTGAAGAAACACACAGACACGTTAGAGGGCAGCGTCCTACCGAATATCCTGGATGGCAACGCTGCGATCTCTCTTCTTGCCCCAGACGGTGAGCGAGTTGACCAGCAGGACGATGAACTCCCCGTTCTCCATGCCGATGGAAACCATCTCTCCGTTGGGACTGTAGGACGTGCACTTAGCAGGATGACCCAGACTCACCTTGTTCAGGAGTTTCTAATTTCACAGAGAGATCACAGTAATGCTGTATCACTGCAGACTGAAGGCCGATCAGGTCTGACACACTGAGCGCCCCCTACCTTATCAGCCAGGTCCCATATCCGGATGGTCCCGTCGTCGCTGGCAGAGATGAAGACGTCTTTAAAAGGGTGCGTTGCTAAACCCCAGATCCCCCCCTGAGTGTGTCCATTGATCATGGTGTTAGAGGCAGCATTCTTCTCTCCAACCTCTATGATCTCCCCGTCTTTGGTTCCCACCAGGATTTTACCCTGGATCAGATACATAGCAGTGTTTGAGGCTACTGTTCCAATGCAAGGAGCCAAGACTCTACAAGGAACCTCAGACCTGTCGCTGTGTGCTGGAAACGAAAACACAAAACTAGCCGGTGAACACTGAGGCAGAACAGGAACGTACGATATGAGGAAAACCGTGATGACGACATCACTTAACGCTAAATAAACAGATATTACACTGCCAACAAAGACCTAAGCACAGAATAACCCTTTGAACAAAAAATTACATTTATGATTTCAAAGAATGAATACCAACCGACCCCGGATAAGAGGAAGAAAATGGATGGATGGATGGATGGATGGATGAAAGGATGAAAGGATGAAAGGATGTATGGATGGATGGATGGAATGCCAAACAATACCAACAAATTAAAAACCTCACAGCTGCTACCAAATTGCCACCAGTTAATCTGAAGATAGCTGGCAGCTAGCTGTGGCTCCACTTGATTGGTCGAATGATGAGAATGATGGTTCACGTATCCATCCCTGTATATCAGGTGGTTATTTGCATTGTTCTCACTTAAAGATGAAAGTGAAAATACAATTCAGCAGTCAGAAGTTGTGATGTTGGTGCAGCAGCTGCTCAGACGTACCGCTGGCTGTGTTGGTATTGGTGTATGCTGCAGAGCTTAAGAGAGCAGCTCATACCTTCCCTCTGCAGACGGATCGGACGTTCTCCACCGGCTGACCGGTCTCCAGCTGAAAAGCTCTGCAGCGCTTCATCTCCTGGTCCCAGAGCTTCACAGCGCCTCCCTCTTTAGTCCTGACAAACACCAACAAACATCCTCATTTTATTAATAATAATAGTAATAATAATACATATGTTTTATATGGCGCTTTCTAAGAAACTCAAAGACAGTTTACACAAAAAAACAGGACAGTGAAGTACTGAAGTGTGACAGCAGGGAGTATGGTCAGCAGGGGGAAATGCCAGTTTAAACAGGTGGGTGTTGAGCTGTGATTTGAAGGTCTGGAGAGAGTCCGATTGTCTAATGTGCTGGCGGAGGCAGCTCCAGAGGGCGGCAGCGGCGAAGGCTTGGTCCCCCAAGGTCCGATGCTTGGGTCTGATGATCGAGGTGAGGAGGCAGTGATGTCGGAGAAGGTCCGTGAGGTAGGAGGGATCAAGACTGTTGAGGGCTTTGAAGGTGATGAGGAGGAGTTTGAACTGAATACGACAGTGGACGGGGAGCCAGTGAAGGTTTTGTAGAATGGGGTTGAAATGGTTTCTCTCTTTTGCTTTTTAGAATTCAGACTTAAAATTTAAAAATATTCCAAGAGTGGTGGAACCCCAAAATGTATCATCTGCCTCAACCCTGGTTGTTACCTACAGATAGGTACCAAAGAGCAGTAAAAGCACACCTTGCAGCTAAATTAGAGACCAGAGGATCAATGAGATCTGGCCATGGGTTCTACATTTGGCTACCCAGGCACTAAAGTTAGTTCTGTTGGCCCTCTAGTTAGTTTCTTTGGCTGTAGAGAGCCATGAGTTGACCCGGTGCCACTACTGCTGAGATTCTTAATATCTAATGGAGGAATTATTCTCAAAGGCATTAAGGCATTAAAGTGAACAAAAGCATCAAGAGCTGTCATTTGTCCCATTATTGTTCTGGCCCACCACCTGGTACAGGTTTTTTTTTAGCAACCCAAAAACACCTCCACAACAACCGAGTCAAAGGTGTGTAAAGGCAAGTGAACCTGCAGGTATGACAGCACCAGCCGGGCCGTGAAGGTCTGTCCAAAGCTGTGACCTGAGTGCTTGTGTAATTGTGAAAACTACTCACGGTCGTTCTTTGCCCCCGGTAACAATAAGACCGTCCCTCAGGGTGGTGTACATGGTGAACACTGGACCGCTGTGCGCCTTCGCCACGACTCGCACCAGGAAGTGCTCCCTCCAAACGTACACATCTCCGTTGATGGCACCGGTGAACGTCAAGTTATTCTGGAGGAGAGAAACACTGCTTTAGAAAAAATCTATTAAACTGGACATTTATGAAAGTTCTGTTTTGGAGTTTAAAATCAGCTTTTCTTACAGCACCAAATGCGACAGACAGCA